AAGTGGATTTCTGCCAGACAGTTGTCTGCTAGGAAAATTACAGGAAGGCATAGTATCTTTTCAGAGCCAAAGGCCATGTTTATGTCGGCATTTGTGGAGGCCACTTCAAAGGGAGAGACAGGAAAGATGCCAGAAAGCACCTTGCTATGAAAAGGAGCCCGCAACACATTCCCGAGCTGCATGAGCTGTCCGGTGTGAAGGGGCTTTGACTTTTGCATAACAGAGGCTCACAACAGGTATGGGTAAAATAATTTCTTCAGACATTTACTCATACCTCTTCCAAAAAAGTCACTTAACAGAGATGGGCAGAGGTTGAGCTCCATCCAGTGACATGAGCGGCAGCATTCTGTACTAGGCACAGGGCCATTTAACTGAGGAAAAGTTTTTAAAATTCTAATTCAAAAGAAAAAGAATTGGAATTGGTGAGGAAAAACATAGGGCTTAAAGCAGCTGGTTTTTTGAAAGAACTGAAACATCACACTGCAGATAGCCACTCTTAAGTCGTGGCCATCACATGGCTGGAAGTAGGGTATCCTATGTCTCTGGTACATCAGAGGGACTTGACCTCATTGTTTCCAAGACATTTTGATGTCCCCAGTCACCTTCTAAACTCTTGTGGGTCACAAAAGACAAGCAGCCCTCCTCACATCTTTGGAATGTGAAACAAAGGGTTGTGCAGTTGGTGTGGATGGGACTGACACCGAGCCCAGAGCTCTGTACCCTCTGCAATCAGAGAGGAGATGGGAAAGGGGTTACATGGCATTTAATGCAATATACTCAAGATCTGATGTGCACAGGGTCCAGGGCATGCTGGACAAGAGGTACTCAAATCCTAGTCACCACTACTAAGTGGATAAGTCACATCTTTTTATTATTATTTTTATTTTATGTATGAGTGTTATGCCTACATGTGTGAAAGCGCACCTGTGTTGTGCAGTGCTCACAAAGAACAGAAAAGGGCATCAGATCTCTTGGAACTGGAGTTACCGTTGGTTGTTAGCCCCCATGTGTGTACCAGGATTTGAACCCAGGTCCTCTGCAAGAACAGTCAGTGCTCTTAACCACTGAGTCATCCCTCCAGTCCTGATAAATCACTTCTTAACTCAATAGTGGGTATGACACTACCACAGGATTTCTAAGAGGGCTAAACAGAATCTACATAAAACACATATGGAGCTTAAGACATGATACCCAGAAGACATTTGGTGTGAGCTCTAGTCCCCTATTACACTCCCTTCCTCCCAACACTGTTATCCATCTCCATGCCCCTGCTCCTGACTGGGATCGCTCAAGGCAGCAACCCGCTACATAATCATACAGCATGCCAGGTGGGGAAGTTCTTCCCAGGACCCCTGAAATCATCACAGTCCACATGCCCCTGCATAGACATGTCTCCAGCCCTCTCCTATAAGGCCCATTATCCTGCACCTCACCTGCTGCCATGATAATGGTTGTACTTATTATTGTACCCCTGCCCCACAAGCCCCATTTCCATTTCTTTTATTTGTCTCCCTATAGCCCCAGCTGGCCTGAACTTGTTATGTACACCAGGCTGGACTTGAACTCACAGAGCTCTGCCTGCCTGTCTCCCGAATGCTGGGATTAATGGTGTGCACCACCACGCCCGGCCAAACAAGCCCCATTTCTACAGTAGGATTACAGTCAGCCTTATCATCACACTGTAACATGACTGTCTGTGACAATAGATGCTGGTGTTATTGGCAGGTGGCTGACACCTGCTTGGCATCTCAGAGCCCAGTGGCTGCGGCACTCCTTACACCCCACCTTTCCTTGCTCCACACCCTTTGGTTCACTTGTCAATGGCCCTCTACAATATAGGCTATAATCTGACACTATTCACTGAGCAGGAACTCCCAGATGCTTTGCTCAAGTCCACATGGCTTGAGAATGACAGAAAGAGGGGCTAGAATTTGATTTTCAGACCTGCGTGGCTGCACTCTGAAAGACCACAAGCAAATAATGGAAAGAAACTGAAGCGGGTAGAGGAATTCTCTTACCTGATTCTGAAGAGTACCTTCTTCATCGGAGGGGCCAACATCAGCATTTGATGACAGCACAGCCACCAAACCTTCCTTAAATTCCTCAAAGTTAACCTGTGGGAATTTGAATAAAGAGAGGACTCTTACTTTCCACAGATCCACATTTAATATAAAGGACAAATTTTGGATCATTTTCTCAGACATATCTGATGGCTCCCTTTCAGAGTGAGAATATTCATTTCACTTTTTCAAATACATTCTTAAAATTATTTTCATTAGAAAAATATACTAAAGAAGATAAATGTGAACCACCATCCTACCACAAAATAAACTCTGCTAACAATTTTATAAAACCAAATCAAACATGATTAGAAAACAACCACTGGGTGTGATCTGTAGATGGCCCCAGAAATTCCTTCTATCATCCCTAAAAGAAAAACTCTGGTCCATTTGCTAATAACTTTCTTTTCACAAGTATCTTTCTTAGGCTGATGTTTACCAGTTGCCCACACCCACTGCAGCTCTTCGCCTCATGCCAACATGCTGGACAAATGCAGGGCACAGAGCTGGCATGTAGGAAGAGATAACGGGAGCCCTCTAAGGGTCAAGTGCAGCTAAAGGAATTTAGATCCTCTTTGTAGGGAAGGCTAGAGTATGTCACAGGGACCCAGGACAGAAAGGTTGTTCTTTGGTTATCAGTAACAAGAAAAAGGATTTCTTTGCTGTTATTAAAAAAATTATTAAAGAATAACTAGAAAACAGACAAAGCCTGGTGCTATGGGCACATGACCTACAGTCCCAGCTAAGGAGGCTGAGGCAGAGAACTGCTTGAGCCCAGGACACAACAAGAGCCTGGGTGACACAGCAAGATTCTGATTTGAAAAAGGAAAAGGAGAGAAGGGAGGTGGGAGAGAGGAGAAAGGAAGAGGAGGGGAGGGAGGAAAGGAGAAGAAGAGATAAGTACAAAAAGAGCTCAAACCTTCACAATTTCATTACCTTAAAAAAATTACAAAGATTTTGGCAAGCAAACATTCTAATTGTTCAGTATATACATATATTTTCATTTCACCTTATAAACACAAGGTCTCTCCCTTATACACAAAAGTATCTACTTACAAAAACTAAAATTAGTTTAAAAAACCCATCAATGAACTTCTCTAAATGAAAGAGCATATAAAAATAGAAACTTCAATAAAAATATGTGGTAATCCCAGCTACTTGGGAGGCTGAAGCAGGATTGAAACTTTAAAGCTAGTTTGAGCTGTGTAGGAAGACCTTGTCTCAAATAAAATAAGTAAAAAGGAGTGGGGGCATATCTCAAAGGAAGAGTTTTTGCCAAGCATGCAGAGGACCCTGGGTTTAGCCGGATGTGGTAGTTACATCTATAGTCTCAGCACTTGGGAGGTGGAGGCAGAAATACCAGGAATCAAAGCTAGTCTCAGCTACATGTCAAGTGTGAGGCCAGCATGAGCTACACGAAACTGCCTCAAAAACCAAAAACCAACCTACCAACTCCCTCCCAAAACAAAAAACCACAACAACAAACAAAGACCCTAGGTGTCACTATTCCCTAATAATAACAATAATTAACACCCATAATTAATAGCCACTTAAAAGTGCTCAAATTAAAACAGGATAGTACTTAAAAGTGTCAGGATTCTAGACTGAAAACCTTCAGTGCGAATGAGGCTGTCTTGAGAGGGAGACTCCTATAACACTCCCACAATCAATAGACATATCTAAAGGGTCTCTGTCTACATATCAAAAATAGCTCAACATTTATATGACCTATTTACATGAATAACAGAAATTCATGTTTAAAAAGCAAAGATAAGAGCCAGGCGTGGTGGCACATGCCTTTAATCCCAGCACTCAGGAGGCAGAGGCAGGCGGTTCTTTGTGAGTTCAAGGCCAGCCTGGTCTACATAGTGAGTTCCAAGACTGCTGGGGCTACAGGGAGACCCTGTCTGAAAAAGATGTCCGCCCCCAAAGCAAAGGTAAGTTCTAGATCAGTCAAGACCACAGAAGAGACTCTGTCTTAAACAAAACACAACAAAACAACACCCCCCCACCCCATCTCCAGAAACATAGCCAAGCATGGTAGTGCATGCCTATAATATCACCATGCAGAAGGCAGAATCAGCAAGATTATGAATTCTAGTCAGCGTAAGTTACACTGTAAGACTCTTGCTCAAAAACTAAGTAACTAACCAACTAACATGAAATACTAAAGAGCAGGTTAGAAATTAATAGAATGTAGACTAAAAAAATAGAAAACATTAATGAAACACAGAGAGCTGGTTCACTAAAAGATAAAGCCAACAAGCCAAATTAAACAGAACAATGATAAAATTAAACAGAACAATGACCCAAATTAATAGAATTAGAAGTGAAAAAGAGGATATTCCAACACATAGTAATGAAATTCAGAGTATTACTGGCCAATACATGGAAGACATATATCCCAATACATTGATAAACCTAGAAGGAACAGACAAATTCCTAGATGTATAGGACCTATCAAAATTAAAACAACAGGATATAAACACATCTTCAGCAAGCAACGAGAATGAACCAATAACAGTCTCCTAACAAAGAAGAGACTAGGACTGGACAGATTCACTGCTGAGTTCCACTAGATCTTAGAGAAGATCTAATATTTTTTAATCTGTTCCATAAAAGAGAAGGTCAAAGAACACCAATCACACTCATTCTATGAAGCCTATATTACCCTGATAAGAAAACCAGGTAGGTCAGGTATGGTGGCAGCCTTTAATCCCAGCACTCGGGAGGCAGAGGCAGGTGGATCTCTGTGAGTTCAAGGTCAGCCTGTCTACATACTGAGTTCCAGGCCAGCTGGGGCTACAGGGAGACCCTGTCTCAAAAGGACCAAAAAGCCGGATGTGGTGGTGCATGCCTTTAGTCCCAGCACTCGGAAGGCAGAGGCAGGCGGATCTCTGAGAGTTCAAGACTAGCTTGGTCTACATAGTGAGTTCCAGGCCAGCTGGGGCCAGAGGGAGACCCTGTCTCAAAAAGACCAAAAAAAAAAAATATCTATTGGCTTTTCCCATGAAGACTCTTATCTGAATAGGTTTTTCTATTTAACTCAAACACAAGGCATATATAAAGTGTATTTAGAAGCAATTTATGTGCAAGACAAGGATATGTGTGCCTGAGACTCACTCCAAAATAAAATAATGGAAACTGGCTTTTCTCTATTCCCTGATATTCTCTCTCTTCCTAATAGGATGGTGATGTCATAGCCCCACTTATAACACCTCTGAAATGGAATAACAGGGATTCATCTTGCCTCCGAGAAGCATCCAAAGTCAAAACACAGCTAAAATTTTAAGTGAATGTCTGCAATTGGTTCTTTACAAAAACCTCTTCTCTTAACAATTAAGTTAGGGAACATAATCACTGAGGCCTACAGATTTAGTAATAGTGATTTTTATTTTGTATTTTGAATGTATGCACATGCTGAAGGGTGTCACTTTTATTAAAAAACCAAAAACTATATTAGCAAATTTTTGCTATGCATACTATGAAAAAGCATTAACTTGCCTGTTTTTAAAGTCAGTTAAAGCCTTTCTCCTTTAGTAATCTATTTTCTTAGACTAACAACTCTTTTTATCAACTCAGAACTCTTAGGACAATTGAGTGTCTTTTGTTTTTGATTTAGAAATTGAGACAAGGGCACAAATTGAAATTCAAAGTTGAAATCATCACGCACAATATAGTTTGAAAAAACAACAACAAAATCCTAGCCCCTGAAGGGATGCCCATCACCCTGTTCCTCCAGTGAGCTAAGCACCAGAAAAAGCCCTCTTCCCTCCCCATCCATTCCCCTTAGTAAGCTGCCAGATTGAGTGAGCAGACTGAAGGGATCTAAGGGCATGCTAGGACGTGCTCTATTACTGACCTACCTGAGCCCTGGCTTTCTCTTAAGTACACTCTGCAACCTGCTCTCTAGGACACACTAGAGACAGAGGGCACCTCACACTAAGCTGCTCTCTGAATCCGTTGTGACTCCAGACACCACCAGCTTCTTCCTACCTGAAACCTCTCCACCCCAGCTCCAAGGGCCTCATCGCTGCCAGCCTGGAGAGGCCTCCCATACGCCTGCTCTGAGTTGGACTTGACAGCTGCTCAGAGACCGTCACAGATGCTGTCCTTGGGCTGCTCTCACCTGAGATTTTACTGCTGCTGCTTCAGAGCATGCTGGACTGCCTTTGTGAGCTTAGGGACTACCCAGTGGATCCCAGGTTCCCCTGTGTAACTTGATGTTCCCAGAAGTACAGTGGGTGCCACCACAGCTGAGCAGGCCTGCTCTGCCTATCTCCTCAACCCCACTGTGCAGAAGTTTACCAAGAGCAAAGTCTGGAGTTGGAGCCAAGGTGGGTGGTGGTGGGACAACTGCCCAGCACTTCTGCTTTTTTCAAGGACGTGTCCTTTCAATTTGAAAGAAAATGGTAAATACTGCTACAGAAGAAACTAAGACAAAGTTCACGCTGCTTGGAATAGCGGTTATGTGTGGAAGCACTGGGAATTCGTGAGCACAGACCAAGCACAGGCAAGGGTTAACCGGTTTTGAAAAGATGAGATTCTTTTAACAGCAGACTGGGATGACAGTAATCATCCCCTGAAAATGATTGGTTTCATGCAATAATTTTTTAGCACTTATACACCAGGCACAATGTGGGTACAACAGTAGATACAGTGGACAAAAAAATCTGCCTCAAAGGATGCGCATTTCAGGAGGCAGCAGATAAACAGAAATAGGATTTTAGATGGGGAAAGGCCAGAGAAAGAAGTGACACACAGAAAAGCAATAAAGGTTTTCAGGGAGTGGGGTGTGGTGGTTTGAAGGTACTGAGGGTAGTCACTATGATGGTGACATTAGGACAGTCAAGGCGGTGTGCATGGACACAGGGCATTCTGAGTGGAACAACATGTACAAAGACCCTGAGGCAGACATAGGCCCACACGTTTGCTCTCCAGCTCAGGCCAGTGTGACTGGAGCAGAGTGAGGAGAAGGAAAAATAGCCAATATCAGAAAGAGGCCAGAAGGGGACTTGTAGGTCATTGTACAGACTTTGGCTTTTCTCTAACTGAAAAAAGGGAGTCGGGGTGACAGCTCTGTCTTCCCCCTTTATCTACTGCGATGCCTGGAGGCAGAAGTGGGGAGACCAATTGGGATGTACTGCAGGAACATACGGAAGTAATGATGGGGATTGAACCAGGTGACAGCAAAGGACGTGGGTGCAATGGTGGGCTCTGTACACACACAACGAAGGCAGAGCTGCCAGCCCATAAGCAGTGTGACAGAAAGGGAACCCAAGATTTCTGCCTTCCATAGCAGGGAAGATGGAGATGCCATTAATCCTGAGGGGAGAGATGGTGGGAGGATTTGTGTGTGGAAGGAACAGAAGTTCAGTTTGGGAGCATGCTAAGTTTGCAATGTCACGTTCTGGATCCAAGTGTAGATGCTGGGAGCAGTGGGCTATCTGTGGGCTGTGGGCCAGGGAAGCACCATCAGTCTGTGGATACCATGGGAAGTCACAAAGGAAGTGAGGGTGGTTAGAGAGGAATCAGATTCCCAGCTCTGGCGATAGAAAGGCTGGGGAGACAAGAAACCAGCAGGAGGCTCTAATGCGTTATTGGTACAAGAGGAAACTTCTAGAACTTTGGGGTTTTAGTATCGGGTGGAGGAAGGTAGTAATGACTACAGACAACCTTGGGTGACCATGCATAACTGACCCTTTGCTTCTCTCCCAGGAAGGGAAGATGGCAAAGTGGCTGAGGTGGTGCAATAGACTCGGTGTATTTTATCTTTAGCCAGACAATCCACACTCCTGTGACCTCTTTAGTGTGAAACCAGATGACTGGTGTGGCAGGGTGTATTTGTGAGTGTCTGTGCACTGGAGGGGCGATCGTCAACAGCAAACAAAAGAACTCATAACTGGTTCTTCACCCATCAAAATGTGAACAAACATTTCTCAAGGGAACACTAAGCGAATGCGTGCTCTCCCTCACACACCCTGACTCCCACCCATCTTTCGGTGTTCTCACGCGTGCGCTGTCTCCTCTTCCTACATCCTCTGCCACCCAGTGTTCTTTGATTTGTCTATCAAGATTCAGTTCTATAAGCACCTCCTCCAGGAAGCCTCCCTCAGTCTCTGCCACCATTGGGTACAGGCGCTCCTCCTCTGTGCTTCTTCCCAGCCCTTTGGTTCTCTATTTTGAGATCTTCCCCCAGCCACAGAGCATCCTCAGCTGGGGACCCTCTGTAATTCAGACAGGGCTGATTTCCATGACTCATCTCACCACTGATTAGCTGTGTGAGGTAGGCAGGTTACCTCTCTGTGCCTTGGTTTCCTCGTCTGTAAAATGGGTGACGATCACAGCTCACACCTGTGGGATTTTTGTGGCAATGGAATGTGCTAGTTTGCAAGGCAGTAAGATCAGACCTGTGAGTTACTGTCATTTCTCCTTATAGTAATAGTAATATTTTGTTGTTGCTGTTTTGGGTTTTGTTTTGGTTTTGTTGGTCTTTTGGAGACAGAGTCTCCCTGTAGCCCCAGCTAGCCTTGAACTCACTATGTAAACCAAGCTAGCCCTGCACTTACAGTCAGTAACCCAAGCACAGAATATCTTTGGATGGAAGCCTTTGGGACTCTTGGTCCTCTTCGGCCTTCAAAAGCACCAGCAGCTTGTACCCTGTGAGATCCCAGTCACCTGTGCCTGGCACTATCTCTTTATTTATTCTTTGGAGACCTGAGCTCCGAGTCACTGTCCCCTCCCCTTCCCAGCTCCCTTGTGACCTGCACCCCATGGGTCCATACACCCTCCTCTCCTCTTCACTTCCAGTTTTCAGCCAGTCTTCGTGGCCACATTTGGCACTCGACCTCACCAGCAAGGACACTCCAGGCTATTTCAAATGGCTTTGAGTCTACCCACCACCTCCTGCTGTCCCACACATTGCTGAACTGTCACCACTACTCCAAGGCTTTGACTTCAAGGAGACCTCTCCTCTTTGAGTCCACCTTTGTCCCATCTCTCATGTTTTCTGGATTCTCTAGCCTCTGACCCAATCTAGGCTCTGTGGTCCATTTGGTATTTTTACTCCCTTCCCTCTTATTTCTCTGTTAAAGCATCTTGGCAAAAGCTGGGTCTGAGAAGAACATTCCAAGTGCTGTAATGCAGGCCTGACCAAGGGAAGAGATGCACACTGCTAGGGGACAGGAAAGACAGGGATTGCCTCTGCCTGTCGCTGCCCAACTGGCCTGCTCACTAGTGCTCTCTAGGGCCCCTTTACCACACACAGGAACCATATGACTCCTGTCCCCTCTGTCCCTCACAGTTCATAAGAAGCCACTGGATGTATCCCCCTTCTACCACACCTCAGGTCTACCTGCACTTGGACCCATCCTGTCCTTCCAGCCTGTGCCAAGCAGCATGCCTCCCTGTCTCAGTCATGGTTACTGAAGACCTTGGTGGCAGCTAAGGGCACTGCCCAGCAATGCCTTAGGGAGAGGTAGATAGCAGGCAGTCCAGCATGGGGGCTGGAGCTGGGGGTCACTAGGATCCCCAGAGCCATGGCCTGCCATAGCTTCCTTCCCTGACAGAAGGTAGAGCGTCTCACCTTCAGCTGTGGGGAGAAGGAGAAGAGGAAAGTCTCTCCAGTACCATAGAAGCTTTTGCTGAGTCGGATAGCCGAGGAGGAGAAGGCGCCAAACATCTGGAAAGCAGAGAAAGAGCGAGGTAGAGGAAGCAAGCTAGGAGTCCACAAGCCACCATGTTCACCAGGCTTGGTAATGCAGGCTCAGCCTCAAGGGCCCAAGGGGAGCTGGGGGCAGAGCTGGGATGGGGAAGCTCCAAGGTCACTGGCCTGGAATTTGAGAGCCTTTGAATGTATGTGCCAAGTCCAGTCTATCTTTTCTTTTTTTGGTCTTTTTGAGACAGGGTCTCCCTGTAGCCCCAGCTGTCCTGGAACTCACTATGTAGATCAGGCTGGCCTCGAACTCACAGAGATCCACCTGCCTCTGCCTCCCGAGTGCTGGGATTAAAGGCGTGCGCCACCACGCCCGGCTTCTTTTCTTAAATATACTTTGAAATACACATTTCTGGCCTCTGACCCAATCTAGGCTCTGTGGTCCATTTGGTATTTTTACTCCCTTCCCTCTTATTTCTCTGTTAAAGCATCTTGGCAAAAGCTGGGTCTGAGAAGAACATTCCAAGTGCTCTAATGCAGGTCTGACCAAGGGAGGAGGTATGTATGTTTCAAAGTATATTTAAGAAAAGATAGACTGGACTTGAAGGGTTGGGGCTGTACTTCATTTGAGTGCTTGCCTCTCATGCATATGGTCCTGGGTTCAGTGTTCACCATTAACATACACACACACACACACACACACACACACACACACACACACACACACCCCACAGACCGGAAATAAAACCTAGAAAAAAATACTCTCTCTTAAATACATGGTGTGTGAGTATTGTATGCATATGTGGGCATGGGTACACATATACTTGTCTTTGCATACATGTCAAGGTCAAGTGTCTTCCTCTGACACTTTCCCTTTTATTTTCTGAGGCAGGCTGTCTCACTGAATCTGGAGCTCACCCAACTAGACTGGTTGGCTGGCCACCAAGCCCTCAGGATCCTCCAGTGTCTGCCTTCCAGTGCTGGGGCTGCAGGCACATACCTCCACACCCAGCCTTAATGGGTGCTAGGTGTTGGACTCTGGTCCTCAAGCGCTTTACTGACTGAACCACCCAAATATAGTTTTGTTTTTTTTTTTTGTCTTTTTGAAGCAGGGTCTCCCTGTAGCCCCAGCTGTCCTGGAACTCACTATGTAGACCAGGCTGGCCTTGAACTCACAGAGATCTGCCTGCCTCTGCCTCCTGAGTGCTGGGATTAAAGGCGTGCGCCACCATGCCTGCTCCAAATATGCTAATTTTATACAAGTAATCCTTCTAGAAGAACTAGAAGTCACACACAAACAGGAAGAAAACAAAACCACCTCGACTCCCCTTCTTCCTCCCCAGGATGACTTCTCCCAGCATTCTGGAGCATTTCCTGCTGGCATCTGCTTAGTGCCAGTATATAGACTTTCTCCAGAAAGATCCCAGGCAAGCTTCTGGTATGGAAGCTGCTCTGCCTCCTGAGTGCTGGGATTAAAGGCGTGCGCCACCACGCCCGGCTCCAAATATACTTATCTTATACAAGTAATCCTTCTAAAAGAACTAGAAGTCACACACAAACAGGAAGAAAACAAAACCACCTTGACTCCCCTTCTTCCTCCCCAGGATGACTTCTCCCAGCATTTTGGAACATTTCCTGCTGGCATCTGCTTAGTGCCAGTATAGACTTTCTCCAGAAAGATCCCAGATAAGCTTCTGGTGTGGAAGCTTCTTCCCTCTTACTTTCCTCTATTGATGTCAAACACAGAAAAGTTCAGAGCTGGAGAGCTGGGGATATAGCTCAGTCAGGAGAGGGCTTGCCTGTCACATATAAAGCCCCAGATTCAACTACCCAGCACCACCAAAAGAAAAAAAATCGAAGTAAATAGGGATTCCTCCACCTAAACTCAACAGCTGAGGGGCTTCCTCTATCCACTGTTGTTGCTGTCTCTCTTTATATATTTCTCTGACCCATTTGATAGTAAGTGGTAGACAGCTTGACCCTTCACCCCTAAACATGTCAGCTTATATAACCCCAGGGCTATTACTACACTAGGACAGCTAACAAGGATTCCTAGTATTATCTGTATGTACCATCCCATATTTGATTTTTCCCTCATTGTCCCAGGAATACCAATTGTGATCTACTTTAAGAGAAAGGCAACATGTTTAATAGCTGTGGTTCTATATCCTGCTTCTTGCCTGCCCAATATTTGGCTGACTTAGCTCTCTCTTCCTCTTGTGGGACAGTTACTGGCTGTGGATGCTCACAGTGCTGCCTGGTGGGGCTGAGATCCATGGGCAGATGTGGGCTGCAGTGCTATGTGGTGGGGCTGGATCACTGGCCAACTGCGGGGTACAGAGTTTAGGCTTAGTGCTAGGAGACACTTCCTCATAGTCCACAGTGCCCTGCCACAGAAGGGGCTCCATCAAAGACGGTGACTGTCCTGGCCCTGAGACAGGAAGTCCTGCCAGACAGGCTCTCCTGTCTATGTGGGGGACCCCTGAGATCTCAGCCAGCTCTAGTATGTTCCTTCCATAGAGGAGCATTTGAAGTCAGCTCTCAATCCCATCCACCTTCCACAAGGAGAGCCTGTCTGAAATTCCACAATGAAGTGACCATTCCAGGCATAGCAGCGTGAGGTTCCTCTTGTGATGTGGGAACTGCCTTGGCTGTCTCCTCTGACTTCCTCCATTCCTTGTCCCCTCCCTTCCATTCTTCCCCACCACCTGGAGATGTTTTCAATATGTATCTGTTATTAAGGTATAGATCACCTGCTTGAAATCCTGCCATGAGAGCTAGATGTGGTGGCACCTGCCTATATTCTCAGCTTGAGGAGGCTGAGGCAGGCAAGAGGAGTTCAAAGCCAGCATAGCGACATATGGAGCTTCAAGCTGGCTTGTGCTTTAGAGAGTGAGACCCTTTCTCAAAGCAAAACAACCCCTCCATGCTGTTGTGCTTGGGAGCATAAGGATGCAGTTTTGGGGTTTTTTGTTTTGTTTTTTTGTCTTTTTGAGACAGGGTCTCCCTGTAGCCCCAGCTGTCCTGAAACTATGTAGACCAGGCTGGCCTTGAACTCACAGAGATCCACCTGCCTCTGCCTCCCAAGTGCTGGGATTAAAGGTGTGCACCACCACGCCCAGCTAAGGATGCAGTTTTTAACATAGTCAATAATTTGCTCAATACCCTCCATGTGCAAAAAATTAGGCCATTAACTCTAAGGGCGCTGGACCATGTAGCTTGATCTTGCTCTGCTTCATGTCTAACTTGTATCCAATGTGGCTTCGGATTCAGGAGTGAACTAATGAAGGCCTGGCTCCCAATATGGCACATCCCAATGCCACATCAGTGTGCCCTTACAGGTGACATCATCTGTCACCTCTGCCTTCTTGCACTTCATGCTGCCCTGGGCAGGACCCACTGGCCTGGCTGGGAGTCCATATGCCACAGCCCAGCTCACCTGCCCATCCTGGTCTCTCAACAGCAGCAGTACTGGCCCACTGTGGCCCTCCATCTGCCGATACAGTCTCCGTAGACTGAAGCCATCTCTCGATGTGCAGAAAACAAGACTCCAGGGGTGGCCAGTGATTCTCGGGGGGAGGTGGAGACTGAGCTGAGGACAGGGCTGGAGGTGAGTGACTGCTTCCCTTTGCCCTCCTTCCAACATGCAAGCTTTCCTCTCTATGCCCATTAGCTACAGTCCTTGGAGATAGTTTTAGTTCTCAGTTTACAGATAAGAAAACCAAGGCTCAAGGAGATGGAGAGTAGCTGGCAGAGCCAGGAATCAAACCCAGGACTGGATTCTGAGAGCTCCCCTTGGTCACCTGATCCCTAGAGGACAGAGGACAGAGAAGAGGCTGAACGCCTCCTTCTGACACCCCCTCATTGTCTGTGCCACCCCAGCTCTGGCTTTAGTCCCCAGGATCCATGTGACACTCAGCACTCTCCTCTCTACCCAGTGAGGAGAACAGTGCTACTGTTCTTGGGTCTTTTCACTAGAGAGGACAGGGAAGGCCTGGGGAGAAGACATGATTGGCCCAAGGTGACATAGTGAGCTGGGGACACTGCAGCTGTGACTCCAGTGCCCCTGGGTGTGGCTGGCACAGGGAAGAGGCTCAGGCTGAAGTCATGGTGTATAGAATGTGCCTGAACCTGCTTAATCTCTGAGGCACCCAGGACCTGGCTGGCTTCTGTCAGTTGGGGCTCTATGGGGTCCTCAGGGGCAGAGGCTGGGGCTGCCTCCTCTTCTTCTTCTTCTTCCTCCTCCTCCTCCTTCTCCTCCCCAGACAGGTGGTCCTCCACCTGGGTAGGCTGTGAAGACACAAATAGGCTTGGTGGATTGAGAGACACAGAGGAACTGGGTAGCACCCCAAAAGCTGGGGCTGCCGACTAGCTCTTGCCAAGGCCGGTGCAAGCCTAGCCCAGCCAAGGGAAGCTGGGAAGCACCCACCACAGCCAAGGTGTCCCTTCCCCAGTCTGCTTCCTTCCAGCTGGCTACTGCCAGTGAAGCAAAGTGGGGAGCACAGCCTTGGCACAGTGCTACTCAGATGGAAACTGTAGTCTGTTGCCAGTATGCTCTGGCCCTAGGGTGGGCATCAGACTCTAAGCTCTAAGCCTGAAAGAAGGCAGAAGGGCAGGTGGAAGCCTGCCACAACCATGTGTGTTTGGACATTAGACAGTGACAATAATCATAACAATGGTTGACATTGGCACAACCCAGACTCTGATCATACATGGTCTCTTTGAATTCTCCCTGAGACTTGTGGAGATGTTTCTGATTTCTCCATCATACAGGGAAGTCCAGGGGTTCATCTTCAGTCAGAGATGTGATGCCTAGTCATACCTAGCTCTGTGTAAAATGTGTTTACCCATGTGTGTTTACACCACGTGTGCTGGCTTGAAATAGGTTTTGGGTAGATTGGTGTTACTTGTCAGTGTGTTTTGAGGGTGAGCTGGGGTTTATATCTGTGTATCAGTGGACATATACCGAACATCTACACTCTACCACAGTATGTGTGTGTGTGTGTGTGTGTGTGTATGTGTGTGTGTTCATATGTTCACATGGACCTAGAAACAATGACACCAGGCTCATCATAGGAAGGAGACATCTGTCTGAGGAGAAACGCTTAGCATGACGTCTCCTGCTCTTCCTGTTTATCAGGTTCAGGCCTGGAAGGGTCCTTACTATGGGACCCCAGAAGGGACAGGAACAGGGGTCTATTCCCCTCTGGAGGGTCTCAGAACCTTGAAGCTAGGGGCTCAGGCCTTGTGTTCCTATATCAGCCCTTGCTCTAAATTCCTGGCCACTTAGGAAGGACTTGAGAGGGACAAATCACACACACACACACACACACACACACACACACACACACACACACCCCTCCAGCCTGACCGAGGCCACTCCCTGCTAAAGATTTCACTCCCTTCTCCAGAGAACCCACAGCCTGTTCCGATCCCTTACCAGCCGAGTATAACGCCAGCGTCCGCCTTTCATTCTCCTGTCACAGCCCAGCAAAATAGAAAGTCCTTGGCCCTGGGGGAAGAAGTGCCACAAGGTGAGGCCTGGAGATGAGGTGGTGCCTGGGCACACCCCACTGGCTCCATGCCTATACAGCTGCCCTTTGTTCCCTCTCACCTGTCACCCTCAGGCCAAGTGGTCACTGGGTGGGTCTGGGAGCAAGTTGGCATTCAAGGCCTCACCGGCAATTAATGTCTACCACATGCTAGTGGTACACAGTAAATTCCAGCTGTGAATTCTGGCCATCTCTGTACTCTTTTAGCAGCCTGGCCTGGGAACTATGACTCTTTCAAAGGATACCTCAGGCCCAGGCTAGAGATCTAGGGCCATGATTCCCTGTGTGATTGTGAATAAATCCATTTGCAACCTTAGGCCTCACTATCCCGATATGTAACATTAAAAAAAAATTATGGGGCTGGAGAGATGGCTCAGTGGTTAAGAACACTGGTTGTTTTTACAGAAGACCTGGGTTCAGATCCCAGCACCCACATGGCAGCTAACAACTGTCCGTAACTCCAGTCCCAGGGGATCTGAAAGCCTCTTCTGACCTCTGCAGGCATTGCATGACACGGGTGCACTTACCTATATGCAGGCAATACACGCATACACATAAAATAAAAATAAATAAATAGCCGGGTGTGGTGGCATATGCCTTTAATCCCAGCATTCGGGAGGCAGAGGCAGGCAGATCCTTGTGAGTTCAAGGCCAGCCTGGTCTACATAGTTCAGGTTAGCTGGGACTACAGGGAGACCCTGTCTCAAAAAGACAAAATAAATAAATAAATTAATTAATTAAAAAAAATTATTAGTGGGGGTGGGAGGCAGGTGTGTGCATTACCGCAGCATGCATGTGGAGGTCAGAGGACAGCTTTCAGGAGTCAGTTCTCTCCTTCCACCTTTATATGGGTTCCCTGGGATCAAACTCAGGTTGTCAGGCTTGCAAAGCAAATGACAAGCACTTTTACCCACTGAACCATCTCACTGACTCTATATATATAGCATTTAACACATTGGACAAGATGATCTCAGGCCTTTCATGATTGACAGAATGCAATTCAAGTCCCCCTCAAAGCCAGTGTGCTTTAACCTGAAAGAGCATGCCTAGACAAAAGAACCCACCTTTCAAAGACATATTTTTGCCTAAAGATGTAGCCCAATAGTAGGGTGATGGCTTAGGGTGTGAGGTCCTGGATCCAACCTTTAGCATAGAATGAGAGAGAGAGAGAAAGAGAGAGAGAGAGAGAGAGAGAGAGAGAGAGAGAGAGAGAGAGATCAGAGAGAGGGAAGGGAGGGAGGGATGGGAGGAAAAGAGAAGGAAGAAAAGGAAATTTAAAATGGAAGGGAAGGAGGAAGGGAAGGAAAAAGGAAAGGGGACCAGAAGAGGGAGGGGAGGGGGAAGGAGAAGGAAGGGGAGGGGAGAAAAAGCAGCTTGGGACAGCCATGCTGGGCTGGGTCTATAGCGTAGTGGTAGAGGCAAATCACACACACACACACAACACACACACACACAGTCCTCCAGTCCCTAGCCCAGGCCCCTCCACTATAGGGCAGCTTACCCCCAGCTTGATTGGAGGATGGGGGGATTTGCCACTTACTTGGTTGTTCAAACTTGAGCAAGTTACTCCCTGCTCTCCTCATCTATAACAGTAGCATCTAACTCATAAGCTGTTGTAAGAATAAATTAAGGTAACACTTGAAGACCAGGATGCTAAGTCTAGCCTCTCTCCTTCTCCTCTCGTCCTCAATGCTGTGTGATAACCCACAGCACCTGGAATTCCATACAGCTGGATAAATGCCAGTGATGATTATACCCCCATGCCCACCCCACCTCTGGGAGGATCCTGTGCCCCAATCCCTAACTAAAGGCCACTCAGTCTTCACCTGGTGCCTCTTGGCAGGTCATCCCTCAGTCAAATAGGAGGTAAGGAGCAATGGGGGAAGAGAAAGTAGGAACCATGGAGGAAGGTGGGTAACAGAACTCACCCTGCCAAGCCCTGGGTCCTGGTAACCTTGTGCAGCTCATTCACTGATGGTTTCCTTAGTGTTGTCTCTGATCCCTCAAAGAGAAGGCCACACCCAGAAGGACCTGCCCACCTGGCTGTCTACATACAATGGCTTTGGCTCCCAACTCTTGCCCCCATTGGGTGACTGGTATCTCTGTTCAGCACTGGCTCAAGCCTTCCTCCCTGACTCTTATACGTGCCCCAAGGCAGCAGGCCCTGGCTGGGAGCCAGGCCAGTTCCAACTGGGAAGGTGCCAGTTATTATCCTACATCAGAAACTCAAATCCAACAAACAAGACTTTGTCATGCCCACACTGGCCCTCACACCCACACCCCCTGTCCCTAGTTCTGTCTCCATCAGCCCAAAGAGGTGAGAGTGATACCAGGCCCTTGCGTTTGACACACTTCTCAGCAGCTCCTGTATACCATTTGTTGCCCCGTGCCTACCATGGAGATCCTCTCCCTTAAGGTTAGAATCTGTGACATGCAAATGACACAGGACAGGGCTGTGCTAGTGTTCTCTATCATCACACTGAACTATGGGGAGCCCAGGGCTGGACTCTACCCTGGTCAGCTTTCCTCCTTGGCCCCAGAATATACTCAATGAGGTTGGGCACAGGAAGCCCAATGGGCACCCTGCCAGTGGGGTCACTTCTCTGTAATGTGACTCACAGTAGGACTGTGATGACTGATATGTTGTTGAATCACAAAACTCAAACTTGGAAGGTGCTGCAGAGCAAATGGCCCTCATAAGTCAGGATCCCCTGGAAAACATATTGGGCAGATGAACTTACTATCTCACGGTGGCTTGGTCCCTTTCCACACAGCTGGAAGACTGTCCTGAAGACCTTCAGAGGACGTGGGTCCTAAGGCTGGTGACCTGGGCAACATTCCCTCCAGGAAATGTGGGCTGCCGAAGGATTTGTATTATAGGGAAAACAAGCTAGAGAAGGGCCCTGTTGCCATCTCAAACATGGCTGTTGCAATGCATGTTTAAGCTATAAACAGTCCAGGGGTCACAGGCCTGGCACTTCCTGCCCCTTCTCACTGCTTCTCGCAGTCCCCTTTTCTCCCCCACACTCAACACACAGACATCAATGAAGTTTGCCTGGCTGTTTCATTCCGTGCCATATTCAGAAGATTCAGTATCTGACCTGGCAGGAACACTCCATGCCAGGTAACAACCTCTAGAGAGCTGCCACAGTGGGATTCCAGGTGCCAGGGGCCTTACAGCCCCACCGTGCCTTGTAGTTTCCTTTCACCAGTCTCTCCCATCAGGCTTTGTACCTCCTCTTTCAGAATTTAACAGTCATCTCCAGGTTCCGTGCCATATTCAGAAGATTCAGTATCTGACCTGGCAGGAACACTCCATGCCAGGTAACAACCTCTAGAGAGCTGCCACAGTGGGATTCCAGGTGCCAGGGGCCTTACAGCCCCACCGTGCCTTGTAGTTTCCTTTCACCAGTCTCTCCCATCAGGCTTTGTACCTCCTCTTTCAGAATTTAACAGTCATCTCCAGGAACTGCGCTCCCTCTCCCCTCTCCCTCTCCCCTCCTTGCCTTGGACACAGTAAGATAAGGTGTTTGAGTGATCACTGTCCAAAGGACCTGCTTGCTATCTTCTTTTCAGATCCTTATCCCCAAATGCAATGAGAATAGAGCCCTCATGGTTTCGGGTCTATGCAATGGACTCAAAACAGGATATGAAATACATAGCTGCCTGCTCCTTGTTGGAAAACCTGGTAGCAGTTCCAGCCCCTACCTCTAGTTCCATGGGAGAGGATCCACAGAAGCCAGAGTCTGAAGAGCTGGAGTACACCTCTTGAGGTCTGTATAAAGAGGAGCCAACTACACTGGCTGTGCTCTCACAAGCCCCTCCGCCTTCCAATACTCCCCTGCACCCCTGAGCATTCAGGCCCCACGCCTATCACTGTCCTTCAGTGTCCATGGACATTTGGGCCCCTGGCATCACATTACCTTAACATTCATCACTCAGAGGATGGTTTTTCCCATATATATATCAGCTCTGCCTTCCTTCTGTCTCTCTGGCCAAAAACATACTATCCACCTCTGCTGCACCTGACCTTCCCCCACTCTGCCTCCAAGTCTATCACTGTTTATCTGCCTTATGTTCACCCTCTACTGTCCCCTGGAGAAGACCACCATGTAAATTCCCTCCAAGGTGACTCAGCATAGTACAGGAAGGTTAGTTACTTTCCTTTCTGGCTTATAAAGTGAGCCTTTGAGAACTATGGGGGAGAAATGGAATGCATTTGAGAGGAGGGTTGGGGTGGGGTTGGGTAGAGAAAGCTCTGGCATGCAGCCTTGAAATCACACCACACAGACCAGTCATGAGCTACTACTGAAAATCTGTTTTCCAAAATGCAAGAGTCCATTTCCAGATGTCTGCATGGGGAGCCAAGCTGCTGTTATTGATTTGCTCCCAGTTCCACAGGGAGAGTCTGAACTCCTCACTCAAGCATTTCAGAGCCTCCAGGATCTTGCTCCTATAAAGCTTTGTCCATTCTGTCTATCTCAGACCTCCACTGGACCTTTGACTTTTGTATTACCTGGCTGGTCTGTATAGGCTTACTGGCCTGGGTTCTTACACCTGACCCAGGGCTCCTCCTGCATCATACTACACAATTCTAGGGGACACCACACCATGCTGGCCATGTGTACAGTGAAATGCCTGCATGTTCACATGCTCCCATCTTCCATGGCCTCCCTGTTTCTGGAAGCCTCCCACATAACCTGCATACCCTATGCCTAACTTCCTTGGTACTTAGTTTCTCCCTCTCCCCTCTCCCCTCTCCCCTCCTCTCCCTCTTCCTCTCCGTTGCTGAGAACTGAACTGAACCCAGGGGCTTAGCATGCTAGGCAAGAGCTCTATCATTGAGCTGTAACCCATGTTCTCTCTATGTAGCAAAGGCTCACTTGAAACTCACTCAGACTAGGCTCGAACTCTGCATTCTCCTGCCTTGATCTCCTGAGTGTTGGAATTATAGGTGTGT